TTGTGGGAGTCCATCGAAAATACAAGACATAGTAAAGTGTAATTTACAATTGCATTAAAACTTAATATAAAATTTTCTCCGTGTAGTTAGTCATTCTGTGCGCGTGTTTATCAATATTATCTATTTGCTTATTTCTTTTTACGATTATATACATAAAAAAATTACAGAAACCTGATAAAATTAAACCAATAAAAAGTATAAGTAATAAAATTTATATTTACATTTTGTTATTTAGTCACGAAATTCATATTTGAGTAACGAAATACCATATTATATACATACCATCAGCTTCTTCAGAGTTGTCTGCATTATTAGTGCTTTCATTATTATGTACATTTGTGTCAGTTGATGAAGATGCAAACATTGCAGGTCTGTTTATACAAGAAGAAGATAGCATAGAATTTGCTTTTTTATATATTCTGTAAAATATACATTATGTTATAATGCAAATAAAAAACCAGACTTTAATTTCAAAAGGAGACAAATTTTCAAGTGTTTCGAGATGCAACATTACTTGCACACTATAAAATTATTTGTTGTTTTATCAAACTTTGAATTAATTTCTAGATAATACAAGCACAACTGATAGAGCGACTTCATAAGAACAAGGATTTTCTTTATAATCTTATTTCAATCTATCAATTATCTCTAAAATATAGCGTTATTATAATGATAGTTTTTAAAATTTGTACCCTCCTTTTATTACTTATTATTTTTATTTATTTTATTTTATTACAAGCATGCACGCTATTACTAAAATAGAACTGTACGTACCATTAGATTCTTTGTTATAATGAGTATTATTATTTGATGAAATAGACGGATGCACAGAAGTCTGGTAATTTCTTTTATTGTAATTTGAAGGTGGTGATGGCATGCGCTTTGATTTCTTCGTAACATGTTCTATAGGAATAATGTTAAATATATAAAGGTTCTGCGTTTCGCGGGTTTCCTCCGTGTCCAGATCCATTCTTGATATGCCAACGTTTCGTGAACCTTGCAGTCCACTTCATCAGGGCGAGGGGCAGCCTGATACAGTTCACGAAACGTTGGCATATCAAGAATGGATCTGGACGACATCTCAAGAATGGATATGGACACGGAGGAAACCCGCGAAA